GAGCAGTTAATGGGTTCCCAGCGGACGCTTCGCAAAGCAACGGACCTGCGTTGTCCCTCGCGAAGGAGATGCGCATCTGAGCAGCTCCAAACGCCGAAAGAACACAGAGCTTTACCTTCCCATCTGGGAGAGGGGAGAATTTCCTGGCAGACGAAGCAGGGAACTTCCTGGGCTTTCACTGAGTTTTTGAAGCGCTTCTCGAGAACCTGAAGTCAGGAAGGCTGAAGCAAGCCAGGAGATCTAGATCTGATGTTTTGACCCGGCGCAAATTTGTTCTCGAAGGACAGGTTTCCCTCCTCTTCCACGGTGAGGGCGACCTTTCTTGCCTTCTCCTCTCGGATCCTTAACTTAAGTCGGAAGAGAATCCGGCTGGAGGTAGGAGGGAAAATGCTAGCACAATATGGCTAGGTTTCAGATAATAATGAAATTATTAATTAATAGTAATAATACCTAAATATGTGTGCCTGGTGCCCTGTGTGCCTGACGGACCAAGGTGGTTTTGGAACAAGGGTTGCTGTCAATAGTTTTTCTCCAGGTGGAGGGCAATTTGCTTGGAACTGGGTGGAAATAGTAGAAATGCCGTAATTTTCGCGCAATATGTTGAGCTGAGTCTTGGCAGATCAGAGAGGTGAGGCGTTTGTGGGCCTCCAGGCGCTGATGGACACCATCTCCCATCAGCCCCGGCCAGCATGGCCAACGGTCAGCTCTGATGAGACTTGTAGTCCAGCAAAATCCGGAGGGCCACGCGTTCCTCCTCCTCGGCCCTGCAGTCCGAGAGGGAAAAGGAAAGGCTGCTATGAGTGAAGGGACTATACTCCACTGGAAGGTAATGTGTGGCTTGCTTGTCAGCGGCAGACGCCTCAGCTCACCTCGTAATTCCGCCACGAAAAGGGAGATGATCCCGGCAGCCTAAGCTGGGTGGCAAAGCTGTGCTAGCCGGAAGCGGCCACCGTTCTTTGGAAGGGGCGAGAGGATAATAGCTAAAAGGCAGATCTGTCCATAGAAGGAAGGGGATGGAGAGAAAGAGAATTGCTAGTCTTCCAAATACAGCTTATTTGTCCACGGTCGTAGCTTTTGCCTGTGAGAGCAATTGCTAAGTAGGGTTTGTGGTCGAAGCCATCCTTGCAGCAGAGACTCCCGTTTCCTTGAAGCTGTGCTGATTTTAGGGGCAAGTTCGCTTCGTAAGGCGCAAGTACTTTAGCAGGACAGGGCAACTCCCAAGGAGCCGCGCACAGGATCGCTCCCTGGCCCTCTTTCCTAAGTGAGGCTTACACTGCAATGCTAGAGACAGTTACTCAGAAGTAAATTCCATTGGACACAGAGGCCTTGCTCCTTAGTAAATTTATTTGGAATGGTAGAAATTATTATTATTATTATTATTATTATTATTATTATTATTAATTTGGCAGGCCCTAGTCTATACTTCGAATTCAAACCCGGACTGGGTTTAACTTTACCGCCTGCTCTTTACACGTGAGAATTCTGACTTGGCCACATCTCCTCTTGTCTTGTATCAGCTGTAAAACCTCGAATCTTCACTGGAAGGGTTGCTGTTGCTTTAAAGTTTAACCTCATTTCTCAATCCGGTTTGGTTTGAGAAGCGGAGTTGGCTTCAGGGTGGGGGGAAGCCTGGCGGGATGACACAGCTACCAGAATCCACCCCACTGTCCGCCCTCTCTAATATCTCCCCGGGCCACCTCTCAGGCCTCCCCCCACCCCACCCGGGTCTGCTTCCCGCCAGGCAGCAGCGCGTCGATCCAGTTTCGAAATTTGGCGGCGGGAGGGCGCCCAATGGGGGCTGGGAGCTGGGCTGCGGCGGAGTGCGCAGGCGCAAGATGGCTCCTGCTTCTCGGAGGCGCTTCGGTGCGGAGCTAGAGCGGCTGAGCTGCCTTCTCCGACCTGAGAGAGGGAGGCGGGGAAGGGGAGCGAGAGGCCGCGGGCATTTCTGTCTCGAGCTCCCTTCTTCGCACGCCTGGAAAAGCGAAAAGAGGAGCCAAGGACCTGGGGAGCCCAGGCATGGGCGCAGCCAAGGGGGGGGCAGAGAGGGGCAGCTCAATAAATCAATAAAAATACATAAAAATACATAGCAAACTGAGGTTCTGCCTGCCTCCCCCAAAGATCCTGGCTACGCCCAGGAGCCCCGGGGAGCCTCTCCAAAGCGCGGCTCTTTTGCAAAGCGAACTGGGGAGCAGCAGCAACACGAAGGGGATCCCTGGAGAGAATCCGTTTCTTTCCCATTCGGTGGAAACGCCTCTTGTGCCTCCTCCTCCAGCTGCTGCTGCTGCTGCTTCATCCAGCGGGGAAAGAAAGGGCGACTAGGCTTGCAATCCTATGCACACTTGGATGGAGCGCACTCTCCGAAGCACAGCGCTATGGTTCAGTTGCAGCGCAAGCCTAACCATGCCTACTCAGAAGTAAACGCTGCTTAATTCAATGGGGTTTGCTCCCTGGTGAGTGGAGCAAACAGCCTTCTTGTCTTTTTATTCCGTTCGTTCCTGATTCCTTCCCGCTCCTTTGATGTCTCCTTCCTTTCTTTGGCCATCTTCGCCTTTTCTTCTCTCTCAAAAAATAATAATAAATAGAGCCCGGGTTCCGTTCTCCTCTCTTGGGCTTGTTTGCAGCGCAGGCGGTTGCGCCCCCCTTTGCGCTCCCTCCCAGCCTTTTGCTGTAGGATAGCGGCTGAGTGTTGGCACCGCAAGGTCCAGCGGGGTCGGAGGATGCGACTGGGACGCCCAGAAGCGTCCCGAGATGAGGAGGGAGGACGCACAGTTCTTGCTTGCACAGGGCTTGAAGCCGCCTCCTGCTCCGTTTCAGACGGCAATCCGCGCGGGGAACTGAAGAGAGACAGGGAGAAGGTAATAATAAAATAAACAGCTCGGAAGTAACTCCTGTCGAATTCAAGTAGGGCTTAACTCCCAGGTAAGCAGCCTGAAGGCATCCATTGTAGGAGCGAGTTTGCGTTGCGAATTGACAGCGCAAACGCGAGAGATCAACAGTCTTCTCGGAGCAGACGCTTGAAGCTCACACCTAAGGAGTGAAACCGTCCCAAGGTTGGCAGAAGAAGCAGCTAAGTGGCCGAGCTGCGCCTCGCTCAGCTTGCCCTGGATGCTGGCATCAGACCCAGACAGCCGAATTCCTGCCCGGGTTCGGCTGGTGGCTGAACTCGGAACTGCAAGCGAAGTGAGCTCTTTCTTCCATTCTTCCGTGCGGAAAGCGAGTTCAGAGGGGGTGGTTGGAATTTGGGGAAGGAACGCAAATAACGCACGAAGAAGAGAACTCGCGTACGTGGATCAACAAGATTCAAGGATCCCAGTGGCGAGCTATATAAGAATCGCAGATACAGGATCTCTTGCACAGATCCACCTTCTAAAGTGAATTGTAAATCCTCGCCGGAGAGAATCTCCTGCGTGTAAACGGAGTGGATGGGGTGGGGGTGGGGAAACATCTGGAGAAGTCGGACTGGGCAGCCGCACGGATCCCCGAAAGAAGCAGAAGCATCCGCGAGGGAAGGGGGAATGTTGCGCGCATTCTCGGGCCGTTAGTTCTCCCGCCGGTCCGACGATTAATAAGCAGCTCTCTCCTCGCTTTTCTGGATCTATCGGAAAAGCTCCGCGTTACTGTCCAAGTGGGACACCAGCTAAAAGCCTGGCCGGTGCGTTGGCGCGACGGCTGAGTCCCAATCCGAAGGGTGGTGGTGCTAATATAGCCTTGTAACTTTGCAGCCCAATATCGGAGGAAGCAAACTCTCTTTCGCAAGGGGAACCTATTTGTATTTCGTAGGACAGAGTCTATAAAGCGCGTTTAATGTGCGGTCTTCATAGTTCTTGCAACAACCACGCCGATCTTCAAAAGACCAGATCTTTGCTGCGCCTGTTTTACGGAGAAAAATAAGACGTCGCCAGAACAGTCAAGGTTGAAGCTTAAGGTTCCAAAAAGAGGGCAGAGACTCCAGGCCTGCAAGTCCTACGTTCTGAGCAGTATGGCCTGCGGCCCCCACTGAACTCGGAGGTGTGGGGCTTTACTCATTAGTGAAGTGAAATACACTCTGCACATGTTCAGAAACACTTAGATAAGACACACGGTTCGGGATTGGCTTCCTTTCCCTCTCTGAATATTGTGCAGTACTGATGCCTTCCAAGCTAACGTGCGTTACTGTGCTTCAGTTCGTAGGTTTACTCAGAGTAAAACCAGCCCTCCGTTTTGGGAAAGCCAGCAATGAACTGCGCAGCCGATGTTCGCTTTTAGAGCTCCCTCGGCTTGGAAACGTTTTGTAGAGCAAGTCAGTGAGCGGACGCAGCGGGAATTCCCTTTGCTTCTTGGATTCCCTTTTAAACTATTATTACTCCCAACAGTTTAACACAGCATTGAAGTTTGTATTCAGATAAACAGGTTTACAGGGCCACCAGATGCATGTCTGCTCAGAAGTAAGTCCCACTGAGTTCAATGGGGTTTACTCTGAGGTAAGTGAGGATAGGACTGCAGTCTTGCACAAGGGTAAAGTTATACTGCGCCTCACCAGATATAAATAAACAAGTCCCCCCCCTCGCCCTTCACCTGCGTGTTGGTGCGTCCTGAGAAAACCTTGGGAAATCCAAGATGAATAATAGACTTTCATGGAAAGCAACGCGATCCTAACCGCTACTAACAAAATTAATCCCATCCTGTTTGTGTTTGTATTATTATTGACTATTATTATTATTTATTATTATACCGCCCTTCATCCGAGGATCACAAGGCGGATTACAATATCAAAGGGAGTTCCGCGTGATCGCTCTTAGGATCCGGGAGGCAGCAGTAATCACCTGCTTTTACAGCCATCTCCAAAATTATTAAAAGGAAGAACAACTAAGAGGTTTGTGACGACTTCAAAGGCTAGCACATTTATTGTGCCACAATGAGCTTGTGTGGAACAGAATCCACGTCATCCACTTGCTTCTGATGAAACCGACGTTACTTCACGAAAGTTCACGAAAGTTATTATGTCATAATAAAACTCTGAAGTCTTCCTCTTAGACTCTTCGTCGGTGTTTCAGCAACCAACACGAACAGGCACCCATCTGGAAATCCTTTCAAAACCGTGTTCTTTTTCTTAAGGTGTACTCACGGTATAAAAGGAAGATAAAATGTTCACCATGACTCCAGTAACCCGGCGAGAGTTCAGGTTCAGGCAGTGACCCTCAAAGCACTGCGATGGAAGCACGCTTCATTGAAATGAATGGGACTCGCTCCCAGTTAAACGTGCTTGTCTGGTGGATGCAATCAACCCACACTTATCTTCGCAGAATTAGCAATACCAATACAGTATCAGTTCAGTTTCAAAATATAGCAGCGTTTGCCGTGATTGAACTGGAACCAAATTGCGCAAACTTGGTTTGATTTATCGGCAGTTCAGAACTTTGGGTTCAACATTGGCCTTTGTGATAATTATTCCATCTTCTTATACTTTTTTACCTTTTTTTCCTCCTTTGAAAAACAGTCAGTTGAGGATTTTTTCAGAACTAATCCAAAGCAGGAAAAAGACTTGTTATAACACAGCTGCTTTAATTCCTTTCACTGTTAGTGAGATGGAATTCTGTCAGAAGCGACTAATACAGTCTATGGACTGTATGTGAGTTAATTCATGTGCATGAATCTAGATCTAACCTTCCTCTCTAAGATATTTTATTGTGAAACAATAAGGGAACAGGGATGTGTGTGTCTATGTGTTTTCACTGGAAGCCCGATCTGATTCATGAGAGGGATCCTATTCTCTCAAACTGTATTTTATATCATCATTGGAAACACGCGTTTTCCCCTTTTAGAATCTCTTTTTGGATTGGTTTGATCTGCCCAACTAAAAAATTATTCGACTACCTAAAACTGAATTTGTGCTTGTGACTACGTCTATCACGAAAAAAAGAATTAGTCTGAAAGAGACATTACTTCAAAGTATATATCTCACATTTACATTAGCAGCTGAAGGACTACAATCGCTCACAACCCAATCCAAACTACTTTTACCAGGAAGAAAGAAAGGAAGGAAGGAAGGAAGGAAGGAAGTCCCTTTGCTTTCTATTGATCTTTGGCGCTATCTCCCAGGAAAGCGCGTGTACAGGACCACAAACTTCATAGGTTGCAAGTTCCATTTAGTTAAGCTGAATGTTAAACTTTAAGTGTTAAATCCGGTGAACATGATCTCCGGATCTCTTTTTGGAGACATACAAAAGTTAATAATACCCTTAAACATTGACTATATAACGTTACAAGAAGTAGCAACGGGGTATATGCAAAAGTAATGATTTAATGACCGTAAGCAAGACAAAGCAATAGAATTTGTGCTTCTTTCGCAGACTGGAGACAATGAAATGTTTAGCTACAATTTCCCCGTACAAACATGAAAACAATAGTCATATAGGATAACCACCCTCACGAATGCGTAACTGGTGAGTGAAGAACACACGCGCGCGCGCACACACACACACACACAACGTTTGACCAAAAGCAAAGCACAAACTGAAAAGTATTTGGGGGCTCTTCACAACGCTTAACTTTTAAAACAGTCCTTCTTTTCCCAAACGCAACGCCTTCAGAGGCCCGCCTTGAAGAAGGGATTCCCCGCAGCTTATTGGAAATATCAGAGTACCTGTTCATTTTTAACCAAATTAGTACTGTACCATATACATACATACAGATATATATATATTAAAACAAATTTAGACTAAAAGCCTTCATCCAGCAACTTGCTGATTTCTTAAGAAAGAACAACTTAATCAAATAGATTCCCGCATATCTTATGGCTTCTTGTGTGATTTCCTGTGCTTTTTTTATATTTTAAGGGTGGAAACACAAACCCATCACACCAAATAATAAAATTTAATGAAATAGTTAATGCGCCCTCGCGTTCCTGGCGTCGCCTCCTGCTCTCCTGAATTCTTTCCCACTGCACCGTTGGAACAATAAATCACATTCTGTAAAAAGTAAGAAATGAAACGAAATACTACTTGGAACCAAGACAAAGCCCGTAAAACTCTTTCGAGATGGCCAATTGCTTCCGGGTTAACCGCGGTTTGAGCTTGCTCCCTGCGACCCCGCAGCCTTCAGGCGTCACTAGGGGGGAAAGCTGGTGTCTGCTTCGTCAGCAAGGAGCTAAGAAGAGGCGTCACCAAGGGCCGAGCTAGCCAGGGAAACTGAACCACCGCGTCGAGAGTGCGAGAAACACAATATTCTCTTTATAATAGTTATAAATATATCATACAATACTGCTTCCTGTTTTGTCAAATAAGAACGTGGCAATGTTGCACAAATGCAAAATGCCACCTGATTCTTATCCTCCAAAAAATGTGGTTCCCACCCCCCTCGTTTGTTTTTCCTTCTTTAAACAAGCCAGTAAAATAAACGGCAATACCCGCCTTCAGGCATACAGGTTGTAAAAACTGAAATAGTACATTTTTTTCTTGTTCTGTGGTTTTTCATCTCTCACCCCCCTCCTTCCCCCAGTTCTTAAATCCTTTCTGTGCTGCAGTAGGCAAGTTATGGGTGAAACACATTTTTTAAAAAAAGAGAAAATAAAAGAAAATAAAACTGGCTAATAAAGCAGGAAATTGTTGTTCACAGTGACATGGCTACATTGATGCATAGTTCTTCTATGCGTTTTTTTCTCCAATCCGGTTTTGTTGAAGAATATTAAGATGTGGGGTGGCGGGGAAATCCACTTGCTTTCTGCAGTTTTACAAAACAGTGAAATAACGATTAACAACGGAGATCTTAAACGTAGAAGTTAGTCTGGGTTAGCAAAAAACTAGATCCCATTACTGATATGCATCCATTTTCCAGAGAATCCCGTCCAAACCACGAAGGATGTGGCAAAAACCAAAAAGCATTCCTTTTCCTCTATAGTTTATCCGGGTTTATAGCGTTGCTAGTCCTTTAGAAACACCTCCTTCTCCTCTTTCTAAATCCACGGTCCAGAGGAGACGCTCAAAGCTCAAATCCCCCTGTTTTCACAACAGCCGAGGTTCGTTTTAATATCCAAAAGTTCCCATATCTAAGGTTCGTGTGGGAGGTTTCGCTGATCGTCCCTCTCACTTCTTAAAGCAATTCGGAGGACAGTCACACGAGGGGATAGCATCTATAAAGCTGAGTGGCACGGAGAGAAGGAGACGGGACAGGACAGAGCAGGTCTAAAAGAGACAACGGTGGAGATTTTGGAGTCCCAGAGGCGCTCGGCGCATCAGCCCGAAGACGTGGCAGAAGAGCCGTTGACGGAGGCTTTCCGGGCTCTGTTGCTGAAGGAGGGGTGGTGGTTGCTGCTGCCGCTGGTTCCGTTCATAGTACTAGAGATGTGAGGGAACTGGGGGTGCGGGGACTGCACCGGGGTGCCGGGGCTGAGCAAGCAGGAGGAGGTGGAGGGCGGGCCGCCTCCCGCGGGGCTGCTCGCCTTCTCGCTCCCAGAGTCACTTTCCAGTTCCCCGCTGTGGTTCAGCCCATCCTGCTGGTGGCAGCCGATCTTCATCCTCTTGCAAGTTGGTCGCACCCGGTACTTTAAAGGGAGGGGGCCGTTCTGCAAGAAAAATAAAATAAAATTAGAGGAGGGCGTCCTCAGACCAGGCGCTTCTTCCCCATCGGTCCGCACCTCGCTCAAGGCAGGGGCTTCCAAGCCTCCCCCCCTGCACTATTTACCCTTCTCCAAGTGTAAATATAGGCAATATCCATCAGCGTGTAGTAGTCCTTCAAGGGCTCCTCTTCATACATGACGTCGATCTAGGGGGAGAGATGCAATTGAGCTTCGTTTTACGCGGGTGGAGAGGAAGCGACGGCATCAACGTGCAAGCCAAAGAAATATGCATCTGGCTCCAAATTTAAACGACACTGTAAGAGTTAAGCCCCTTGACCCAAATCAACCAAAGATTTAAATCCAGGTACTTAGACTTACATTTGTTGGGATGGAGGAATTTATCTTTCCTGAGTCCTAGGCTTTAGTGGGATTGCTGATCGGCCCTTAAGGAGCCAATACTTCAAGTCTTTTATTTAAGAGTTTTGGTGGTTGCTGGGGGTTTTTTTATAACCCAGACGCAAAAGCCATTAGGCAAAGGCTTATTGAGCAACCTTAGCATGAAAAAGACTGTCTAAAATGCTGCGCAGGCTCTGATCTTTCAAGGACAAAGGAACCTATGATCTGACAGCACAGAGCAAAACACTGGGGGATACTTATCTGATTCTCCAGTTTCTGAAAATAGAGGACTACATTAACAGCTTGTTTTATGTATATAAACCAAAGCAAACCACTAGCTTACATGGTACACTGTGTTGCTTAGTAAGTTTGTGGCAATACATTTTTAAGTAAAAAGCATTCATTTAAATTAAATGCCAGGAGCCCAGATTTTACTGGAACTTCTACCACTATCACCCCTTTAATAAACAAAAAATGTACCTGAAAAGTATTGGGTATGTCCATTTTGCTCCTGAGAAACTTTCTCAGATGCATTACAGTCATAGCTGCAGGGCAGCGCAAATATCTTTTGTCATTCACCTGATAAGGGTGTTTGATTAGGGAGAAAAAATAATGCATATAATTAAGAATTCAGTGTAAATGTAGTAGAGATACATAAGCATAGCTGGAAACTAGAAACTAACTGCTAAATCAAAATAACAAAAATGCAGAACAGTTAATTAAGGAGAGTCAAAATGTAGTAACATACATTTTCCAGGGTTTATTTACAATATATGACAAGTTTCCTCCTCAAAAAAAAATTTGGGTAAAGAAAACTAGAAGGAAACAAAAGTTTTTGGACCATCAATCAGTTCCCTTTTAATTTTAGTTGCCAAGAAGAAACAATAAATGTCTGTACAATAGCTGCCTGCAGTGTTAATTTCTTTAGGGAGATAAAAATAACTATTAATCTAGCTGGGGCAAACAAATAATCTAAACTACTTTCTAAAGAAGGGGTCTGTTAAATTCCAAAGAAAGTAAAAGTTATTTACCTCCTCTTTGGGTTTCTCTTTCTCTTTATTTCCTTTCCGTTCCAGTCTGGGAAGAAGAGTGATACAATTATAACAAAGAAGAGCTATCTAAGAATGTGCAGATAAAAGTAAATTATTGTGTTCACAACTTGCCTATTTTGGTCGAAGAACTCTATGGATAAGCTTATTATCTCATCATCTGTTATAATCCTTTTGTCTTCATCTGCAACTTCACCCCTGTCTTCATTAGAGCCATTGGCAGCTGCACAGAAATTTCCACAGTCATTTACATCTTTAAATTCGAATGAGAACAAACCTCATCAAGAGGGGAATCTCTCTCACAGCTAAGATTATTTCTGCAAATACTGAGATAACTCTCTGTAGCATGCTTTAAAAACCTTTAAATTAATTATGCCGTATTTTGTCACTGAAATGTTAGGGGAAGAATAGATGGGGAAATGTTTTAACAACCTAAGCTTTTGAATAAGCGGACAGTTTTATGTCTACAAAAGAAAGATATTGAAGCTTTTACCATCAGCAGACGGATGAGCAGCGTAAAAGTCTCTTCTTCTTTTCATTTCATCTGAGTGAGAACACACATTTGTCATTTAGTATACTCTGGCTTTCATACAAGATTGTGCTTGTGGTGGTCACTTAATGTAAGAAGGGCTTACTTACTTTTGAAAAGGCCTGGCACTAACTTGTAGACAATGTCTTGGAGAGTTTTATCAGATCTGAAATATAAAATCCCAGGACGCTCAAATTTAGAAGGGTGCCAGTATTAAAATCCAAACTGCACCTTACTTTCCAAAGCAAAGAAAGAGTATTTTCTAAAAGATTCAAATGGTCAGCCCAAATTCCTGCAACATTTAAAAATGGTTTAGACAGGAGTCTTTTACACCAGATACTTATCTGCCTAGGTGGGGAACAATTCTGTCTACAGAAACCTACTTGCCACAGTGTTACTGTCTAAAATGCATGCAGCTAATCAAGAGATGCCATCCCTAAACAGCAAAGGGTGATGCAGCTAAGTAAGGAGGACTTCTGAAATGAATCTAACTTTTGCCTTTCTCCACCAGCAGAATATATGAGGGAGGTGGGTTAGCTGGAACTGACAATAATTTGCAGTTTGGTCAGGCAAGGCAAGAATAAAGTACGTATCCGTAAACATATAAGAAGCTGGGGTTTGGGTTTGGAGGGAATTCAAGGAGCGACAGGACTTAAATGCCAGCTCCACCTTCACACATGAACTTCAGTTTGCAAACTGACATCTCCAGCCAGATCCCAACGTGTGATGAAGAGGTGGCAATCCAAAGAAGCGCGCAAGCGTCGCTACCCTCTGAACTTCTCACCTGAAATGAAAGACAGCAGTTCAGTTGTCTCTCGCCTACCTTATATTTAAAAGGGGTCTGGTTTTGTGAACTTGGACATCGCAAATAGGGCAATACTTGCTGGTCTCCAAGTAGCGCACGATGCACGTCTTACAAACTATAAGAAAATAGATAGAGAGAGAGAGAGAGAGAGAGAGAAAAGAAGAGGCAAGATTTTGATCAGCGGTCAAGGCGAGGTTTCCAGCTATTAAAAGAAGTAACGAGACTTTTCTAAACCCGGAGCCACCAAGCAGAGGTAACCATTATTTGGATAGGGGGCCAAATCTCGAAGGAGCTGCAAAGAGCCGGAGGGAGTCCCTTAAAGATATATAGGGCATGTTTACAAGACTATGGAGCCACTGGCAACCGCATGTAAATGGGAGCAGACCTTTCTTGCGAGGGATCAGAGGCTGGCGGGGGTGGGCGGTCGCTGGCCCAGAGCCTTTTTCTGCGTCCCTGGAGGGCTAAGGGCACGTGTGAACCCGGACGGTACTTACAGGAGTGCAGACACTCGATGATGGTGGTCGCATCGATGAAGTACCCTCCGCAGAGCACGCACATGAGGTGGGGGTTTAGCTCGGTGATTTTGATGCGGGTGGTGCGATGCATTTTTGCAGCTCTGAAAGGCACACAGGAGGGCCGTTTAAGTGCGGGAGGGAAGCGTCTCCGAGGCGCACGCAACCTCCACTCCCCCTTCGGACCCCTCCTGGCTGGCAAGGCAGCCCCCGGCCTCCCGCTCGCCCCTCCTCGAGGAGGAGAAGAAACCTCGGAAATGTAACTCGGAAGGCGGCGGCGGCGGCGGCGGGAAGCTGGCGAGGCAGGAACTGTAATGCAAAGCGGGAGGCCCGGGCGCAGGGAAGGGGCTGCGCCGCCGCGCGGGGGCTGCTGCTCTGCCCAGTGCCCACCTGCCCGCCTGGCCTGGCGCGGCGGCGGGTGCGGGGCTTCTCGGGGCCCTTCTCCCGCGGCGAGCAGGGCACCCCGGGGGCGCTTGCCGGAGCTGAGGATCGCGATCGGGGGAGAGGCGAGGAGGACGAGGAGGAGGAGGAGGCGCCGGATCCCGGTGCAGCTGCGGACGCTGCCCTGGGCATTTCCGGCGAGGGGGGAGGAGGGGAGGGGGCGGAGGAGGAGGAGGAGGAGGAAGAAAGAAGAAGAAGGGGGGAGAGGGAGGGAGGGAGCTGCTCCTTGCACCTTGGCACCAGGGCCGCTGGGCAAGGCGAAGCAGGAGGGGATCGGGCCGCGGCGGAACTGGGCTTCTCCCGCGTCGCCTCGCTGCCGCCAGCCCAACAGGCTCGGGACGGCGGCGCCTTCGGAACCGCGCTCTGGAGGGGGTTGCTATAGCAACTTACACTTACACTTGGCATCCTGCCACCGCCCGGAGCGCAGCACCAGGAGGAGGGGGAGGGGAGGGGGGAGAGAAAGAGGGAATAGAGGGGGGTGGCGGAGAAAGCCAAGAGGGAGAGAGAAAGTGCGCCCAGGAAGGTGGCCCGGGAGAGCGCTGCCAGCTGCGAGGGTCTAGGTGTGCCGCACCCGGGAGGGGAGGGGGGAGGGGGTGGGCAGAAGGGGCCACGGGTGTGCGCATGGGGGGCGGGGTGCAGCCTCAGGAAAGGCGCAGGGGGCGTGGCGGGGGCCGGGAAAGGGGTCCTTTCCTCTCCTTCCCCTCCGCCGCCAAGGGGCCGGGCAGGAGGCCAAGAGCGGCGCTGGAGGGGGAGGCCTCGGGGGCGGCCTGAGCCAGCGCCGGGGTGTGCGCCAGGCCGAGCAGAGAGGCTCCTCCCGGCCCTTTCGGCAGCTCCTCGCAGGGGCCTCCATCCACGTCGACTCAGTCCGGGCAAGGAAGCGGCAGCAGCTCAGCCTCCGGTTTCCTGCCCTCTCCAACGAGCCGCGTCTGCGCCGGGACGGGGCTCCAAGTTGGACCGTCGCTGGCGGCAGCCCAGCCGCGCATCTGAATCCGCACCTCGTCCCAGACCAGCACAGCGGCCCGAGTGTCATTTCCAGAGGTTGCTGAACCAGAGCAATTTACGGTGCCACCAGCTCCAGAGACAGCCGGGAAGGAGGGAAAGGCGCCTGCCGCCCCGGAGCCCAGGTTAAGGTCCCTGATCTCAGCAGATGCCCTCGCAACCAAGGCGAAAACCTTCCCTGCAAAGAGCCCGCAATCCCAGCCGAACTTGGCCAAGGAAAGAGCAAAAGCCCTCGCGTTGCTCGAAGGAAGGAGGAGATGGGACTGGCAGCAGCAGAGACAACCTGAGCAAGCAAGCAGCTCCTTCTCTGGGGAGAGGGAAGCAAACGCTGTACCAGGGGGAAATGTTTCTCTTACACACACACACACAAATTCCCCAAAGGGGAGAAGGCCCGGGGCAGAGGGGCTAGCCTTGGCCTTAAACTCGAGGGTGGCAGCGAGGCTGGGCGCTCCCATGCATTGTGTGCGGATTTTCCAAGATCTCTCCAACAAAGGAGCAGCCTGGAGTTTTTGGATCTCGCCAGTCTCGGCTCTTGGCTTCTTGCCCGCGATTTCCCTCCTTGCCCTCAGCCAGGAGGAAGACTCCTTCTTGAGGTGACCTAAACCTGTCTCTCCTGCCCTCCTTTTATTCGTGAAAGAAATCCTAAATATCTCACAACTGGCGCAAGTAGGTGGCTGTTTTAATCGGTCGCCTTACAATTCTTCTCCAGAGCTGAGACCCACCGAAGCAACCTAATCTTTTGGAAGAGACGAACATGTTTTATTTCACAAAGGACTTCCTAACTGAAAGAAAACTCCCAACAGCCGTGAAGCTTTCCTGGTTGAAGCTCTTTCCCTTAACCGCATATTATTTATGACCCAAGTTAGCCTTCTTCCCCAGGGCATGGTCGAAGCAATCTCTGAAATCCGGGGTCTGAAAACCAGCAAACTGAACCGAAGAACAACAGTGAAAGACGCCAGCCAACACACACGTGTGCACACGCACCCCCCTTTCTGTTCACACACAGTTTGCACTGCGCGCGTAAACATAAAGAGCATTTCACTCCCAAACGCGCCAACTCCTCCTCCAGGAGGGGAGCTTCAACTTCTCATTCCCCGCCCCCTCCTTATGTTAAGATCGGCGTGCATACAGTCAAGAAACGCTGACCTTTAACACGAGCGAATATATTTTATTCCAGGAGCTCTCTCGCTCGCCAGGCAAGTCTTCAACCGTGCAAACAAGGGGAGGGCGAAGCTTGCTATGACAGCCAGCTTGGAGGCCATGCGCGGGTTACTTCAAAATACAGGGGCAAGCCCTAGTTATGAAGGCTCACGGTACCCCGTGAATGAGCACAAAGCATCTGCGCCGGCAGCTGAAAAGGGAGCGGAGTCGACCCAAAGACGAGGTAAGCCTCGATGAAGCAGAGATGCACCCTTTGCACCAACAGCCACACAGGCAGATAGCCCTTCCTTCACCTGCCATGTATTTGAGACCTTAGAATTCTTGCAACAGACCTAAATCCTGATGGCGATCAATCAATCGATTGAAAACCGATTCTGGAACGCATGTATGCCCACATGCGTTGCCAATAAGATCCGTGCTCTCTCTTCCCAATATCTGGCTGAAATCCATCTTTAAGTGCGGGAGGGAAGCGGCTTCCAGGGAAGAAATTAATGTGCTCAGTGGCAGAAATCTTCCTCCTTTAGAGCCAAGCTCCTAAAAGTAGCAAATGGGACTCTCCAGCTGGTCTCCTGCTACCACAAAATCTGGTTCCTTCCCAGCCAGCGCGGTGTCCAAACTTATTAAAGGTTAAGAGGCTACACACAGAATCCGCCAACTTCCAGCAAAAGTCTTCCCTTACACATACGGACGCATCCCATTCTCCTCCCGCCCCATATTATATTTTCAGAGTGTGTTCCTCCTCCTTGGAGGGTCATTTCCAAACAAACTCTCCCCCAATACTTAGCTGCGTCTTGTGCTCCTGAGTTCTGGAGGCAAGAAAAATGTTAGAGGTTCAACGAACGCCATGGGGGTGTTCTGACCACATGTCTGTCTCTCCCAGGTTTGGGGGCAAAGGGGGATTTTACCCGTAGGATTTGATGGCCCCGACTTATTTCCTGAACTCTTTTTGCCAGGACTCTCCTGTCAAGCTAGGTTAGGCCAAGCTAGGTTAGGTGGACGTGTGCTCGGTTTCTCGCGCCAGGAGCAAAACCATCACACCTCGCATACTAGCAAGTCGTTGCTACTAAACTTGCCTTGACCCAGCTTGGAAGGACTGCGGGACAAGGGGCTAGAAAACCAGTTAGAGAATAAGAAAGCCGCGCTGGAAGATCCTGCAAAGTCCCAGCACCTCAGCTTCCCCAAATCTCTTCCGTCTGCACAGGGCAAACTCGCATCAACGCAGAAACCCCTGTGCCCCCGAAGTTAATTTCCCAGCTTTGCCCTCCCGTCCCCAAAGCGCAGAAACTTTAACATTTTACGCACACACGAGAAAAAGCGCCCAGCTGCAAGCTGAGCGAGAACCGCCATCTTACGAGCCATCCAGTCCCACACCGGGGTCCGCCAAACTTAAGTTAATAAAATTCCTGGGAGAGCCCTCCCGAGCGCGACCAGCCCCCCAGCGGGATCGCCCCCTCGGGGGGGACCCATCCCTATAAGATGGGGGCTCTGCGGGGCTCCTGAAACCCCCTGCGAGGCGCTTCTTGGCCGGGCAGCCGCCGTCCCCTGACCCAGGCAGCGCCAGGTTTCCTGCACCGCCCGCGTTCAATCGAAATCTGCATTTAAACAAAGGAGCCCCAGAGAGATCGGCGAGCAGGGGCTGAAAATAGAAATATCCTCCTGCGGGGCCATGTGCCCAGGAAGGGGCTAGCGGCGAGCCGAGGGAGGAAAGGAACCGAAATCCGCCGGAGGGGGGGCGTCGCCCCAGCCAGTGCACGGGCCGCCGCCGCCGCCGCCGCCGCCGCGCCTCCCGGGGTCCCTGCGCGGAGGGCGAAGGCGCGCGGGCGCGGAGGCAGCGCGGAGATGGAGCAGCCTGTCAGCGCTTTCCCCACCCCGAGAGCCCGGGGACACCTAGCAAGGCTGGCGCCCCTCCGCAGCCCCCCGAAACCGCCTCCCAGGCCCCGCCGCCTCCCGGCCCCCGGAGGGCAGCCGCGCCCGGGGATACGTACCCGCGAGAAGGAGCCGGCGGGCGACGATCCGAACCGCCCCGAAAGACAATGAAAGTTAAAAGTCGCTCAGCAGAAAATGAATGTGAGCCAAGCGGCCATCTTGAAATGAACTGCAGACGCTGTCAATTGCAATGAGCGCAGGGCTGCCGCCGCCGCCGCCGCCGCCGCCGCGCTCAGCTCAGCTCCTGCTCATGCTCGCTCCCCCGCAGCCGGGCTCCTCTCCGCCACCGAGCCCCCTCCCTCGCCTCGGATCCCCGCGCCGCCCCAGGAGTTGGCTCTGCCTCCCCCCCCCCCCGCAGCCCTCGCTCTCCCTCGCCTCCTCTCTCTGCCTCTCCCCACCTCCTCCTGAATGCGCAGCTCCAGTGCTGGGATCTCAAAATCTTTCTAATCCGGATGGTTTGCTTCTCCTCCTCCGCCAGCCCATTGTCTCTTGCGCTCTTTCTTTTCCTCCTCGGCTTCCCCCCCACCCCTTCACCCACTCGCCTCGCAATCTCTTTCCCCCTCTGCTGTGCTTTTTCTTTCTTTTTTTTCGGCCCCTCGGAGAGGGAGGCTCTTCCTCCCTCCCTCCTTCCCACTCCTCCTCCTCTTTTTTTTCCCCCTTTACGAGGAAAAAAATTAATTGTGATTATTTCCCAGTTGTGGAGGGAGCCAGGGGAGAGGAGGGAGAGTGGCGGGCGAGGAGGGGGCTGCTGGCTGCTGGCTGCTGCTGCTGCTGGTGGCGGAAAATGCAACGCTGAAAGGCACACAGTGGAAACTGACACCGTCCCCAAAATGGCTCAGAGTTCGCCCGCCCCGCCAGGATCACGTGGGGCTCCTCATTCCTTAAGGGTGGCCTGGGAATTAGTGTCGGTGTAGTCGGAGCCCGTCAGCCTCCCTGTGACCCAATCCCGCGGCTCGGCCGCCTCCCCCTCCCCGCGCGCCACCCTCCCCTCCCCTCCCCCTCCCCGCACTCCGCCTGGTCCTCCGCCTCCCTCGGCTCCACACACACTTCGCCGAGTCCTCCTTTTCTCCACCGCGCTCACGCTGCTGCTGCTGCTGCTGCTGCTGAGCCGCCGCTGCCGCCTGTTCCACCTCCCCCCCTTCTCTCTCTCACACACAAAATGTATTATTCAATTTCTTCCCCCCGAACACACCCACTCCACGCTGGTAGAGTCGCTTTGCCCGTTCCTTCTCGTTTCCCCACATTTTGTACACCCTGTCTCTTCACACGCGCAATCTCTCTTTTCTTCTGGCTTAACTGCAACACACACGAACCTCTTTTTCTCTGCTTCCCCTCCCCCCGCTATCGTCTCTTTCTTTTCTATATTTGCTCCTTCTCTGACCGACATCTATCTACTCCTTAAATAGAGATTTGTGTGTGTGTGTGTGTGTCTCCCACCCCGCCCCCCGCCCCAGGGAACAATAAACTGAAGCTTGCCACCTTTTGGCTTAGTCCATTCCCCTCATCTAAACCTGTCTACTCCGCTCTTTGCGCCTGCTGCCGCCTCTCCCTCCTCACACGACGGTGGCCCCAACTCCGTAGCCCACCATTTTAATATCTGGAGGTGGCGCCCAAAGCAAGGTCCCCTTGTCCTCGAAGCGTCTCGTCTGGTGGCTTCCCTCCCGCGCGCTCGAGACGCGGCGATCCTCCTCCGTCGTTGCCCCACAGCCTTCTTTGGGTGCCCGCGCCCAAAATTGCCCCCTGCCGCTCCCAAGCTGCTGTGGGCAAGACCTTTGGCGACGCGACAGGAGACTTGCGCAGCAAAGGCGTTTCAGGTGTCGTGGGTGTCGGAAGTGCAACGTGCGGCCAAGGCGAACTAACCCGCAGCTGCGTCTCTGCGCTTCCACCTCCGCCCCTCGTTTCCTTATATTTTCCCGCCTTGGCATCCGATCCACGCGTCGTCTGTAGACGAGCTGCTTCTCCTCGGCGCGTCCCAACACTCTTCCCGCCCTGCACATCCCCACCCTCCCCACGCGACCCCCGTTTCCTCCGCCTGGTATTTCCTATCCAGCGCCCCCAGTCTTTGCCTCCTTTCGCCTTCCACTTCTACCATTCTCGTCTCACGATTTATATACACCGCAGAAATGTTTGAAAACTGACCCCCTCCCCCTTCTCCACGCCTGTCTCTCTCTCTTCCTTTCCTTCTAAGGACCCGATCCCGAGTTCCTTCCTTTATTTCGGTTCCCTCTCACGCGGCTTGGACTTCGCCATCCCCGCGCCTCTTTTGCCCACCCAAAGTGCCCTCGCTGACTATCGCAGACTCCTCAACCCTCGTCCTGGGCTTTTCTCCCTCCACAACCCCAACTGAGATTCCTCAGATACCGGAGGTTTCCCTCCCGCCCCTTCACCTCTTATTTTCTTTAACGCGTGTAAGCACAAGAGCGCTCCTGACCCCCCAGCCCCGCGAAACCGCTCATTTCCCCTTGATTGGCGAACTGTCTTCCTGGCCTTGAACACGCCGTCTCGTTTCCCGCCTTTCTTCGTCGTATCAATTCCCTTCTCCACACCAGCTCTGCCACCTCACGTTTCGTCACGGGCGATAAATATGATCGCATTGAGGCAACAAATGTCTTCCGCGAACAGCCCCCCACCCCTTCCCTACCACAATTTTGCCTCCCTTCCCCCACCCTGTCGCTGCCTCGCAGGCATTCCTCGTCGCACTTTCCCCGCTTCCCTCGCTGTCTCGCGCGCAGCTCGCACGATTTCCTTCCACAGATCGCAGCGGCAGAATCCCACCTAATGGCGCGCCCCGGGGGCGGGCAGCCCGGCGCTGCGGGTGGGTGCGTGGGTGAGTGGGGGGAGGAGAAGAGGCTCCCCAGGGAGCCAACTCGAAAATAGGCACCCCTCGCCTCAGCCACGGCTTCTGGCGAAGGAGCATTTGCGCTATTCGCAACAGGGAACGTCGCTTGAGAACAAAACGCAGCGCAAGGCGCTCCTTGCCCCGAAGGTAGTCGGTCGGTCGGTCGGTCGCGGCGGGTGTGGATCCTTCCATTCCACAGGCGATCCTTTAAGGCTGGACGCTGTTGGACGCCGTCCCTTTCTCGGCAAATGTTCAGAAGAAACGCAGCCATCGAAAAGGAGCTGGGAAGAGAACGCCCGCCCGCCACTTCGCCCCCCACTTCCCCAAGAGAGAAGGACGGGGGTCGTGCGGAGACTGGCACACCCGGGAGACGTCGGAGGGGACACTCCTAACCCGGGTTCGTGGCTTGCGCTGCTTGCCACGCCGGGCGGGGAAAGAGCCACGCTCTGGTCTCCCTCGGCCATTGATTGGGAACACAAACGTCCAACACACACACACACACACACACACACACACACACACACACACACGGGGTAGACCAACCTGGGGCAGCGCCCTCCTCGCCACAATTTGACCCGTTCGTGTGTGTTATTTCTGATGCCATGTTGCCAACCTCGTCTCCCTCTCTACAGGACGCAGGGAAATGGAAGGTTAGAGAGCATATCGGATTCTCCTCCACGCCGTGATTATAATGGGAAGCGAATAGTAACCCGCCTAGAGGCATTCATTTATTCATTTTTTAAATAAATAAATTATAATCAAAAATAGCTCTCGGATTCCACCAGGGATGGAGAGACTGACCCTGGCGTAACCGCAGCACCGAGGAACTTGACCCACCCGCGGATTCTCTTCCCAGTGCCAAACCCAGAGCTTGGAAGTTTAGGATCGGGGTGTAAAACAGGCTGGGAAAAGGGGGGCGCCGCCGGCTTCACTCAGTCGCGGATCGGGTGCCTCCCACTGCAAGCTCGCTTCCTCCCCACCCCGCGCTAATAATAATAATAGTAATAATAATAATAATAATATCTCAACGATAAATGGTGTGAACCAAAAGGGATGGGAGGATGCTTGTTTGGTTTACCAATCTCTCTTCTCTCCAAGCCGGCTGAAGGCAGATAAAAGGACCCGCTTCCGCGTGCGACCCTCCCCCGAATAAGAAATATGGAAGAGTCTAAGCCAGGAGGCGATGGCAGCGTCTTCGGCACTTCGCTTCTCTGCCTTTCATCCGTTCCTTTGCCACCATGAACGCGGGCATGGTTCTACTTATGGGGAGGGATCTCTTCAGGTGGACTCACCACGTCTAGCTCCAGAAGATTTCGCGGTGGGGGAGAGAATTCACCATGGGATACTTAACCCATTAGGGAGCACAAGTGTCACTTTTATAGCAGCAAAATTTGGACTAAATTGGTGGGTTTCTCTCCCTCCCTGCCACTTCCCAACGTACCTTTCATGACGTGCGAAATGGGTGTTTTGCATTTTGAGATTTCCAGTGCAGGGTGGGCGCTTCATTATCCTAAACTGAACACTCCAGGTTCTTATGGGCTTGGTACAGAAAACGCTGGTCTATTTCTTTGTCACTCCCCAACAAAGAGTAGCAAACGGGTGTTTTCCCTCTCAGGTGGGCAGTTTCCTCTTGCCCTTTCCACGATGGTATAAAGAGCCCAAGGAAGATGAAAGGAAAAACGGGAATTCGGATCATGGATCTCGCTGTAAACCAGAGCTGTCTCGCTACCCATTTCCCAGCCGGGGGTGTATAATTACCAACTGGGAAAGCAGCTTCTGCCCACGTTGTAAGATGGGGGCGAGGGTGGAGTTGTTTTTTGTTTGTTTTAAGTTGTGGAGACAATGCTGGTCACATTCCATCTATAGCCATTCAACTGCATTGAAGTGAAAAGAAACCCACTGGTGCAATTAAGGGCACTCCAGCTATTGTCTATCTACATAAACTACTGAATATTTAAGCAAGTAAATCCGGGTCAAAACAGATGAAGGCATGACAGTTTCGTTTCGCGTGTGAATCGCCAATTTATTTATTTATTTTTCAAAAAGCTGCAACGTGACTTCACCAAAATGAGACTCAAGACGACTGACTACTTAATTACAACACAATGAAGGCCTCCTTAGGTTCAGAGCCTCACAGCCCTTCAAAGTGATCTTTGCTGGTGAGAAGGTTACTCTTGGAATGTTGACTCCATAGTGGGGACCCTCAGGAGAACCCAACCATCCCTCCAGTCCCCCAATCAACACACATTATTATTGATAGATGTGGCACACAAAATAGATCAACTCTCTATTGCTTTTGCTCTCTGTTTTTATTAGAGGTTAGAAATGGGAAATAAAGCCTTGTTTTTAAAGACAGGACAAGACTGAGCAGGGAGCAGATATTTAACAAGGTGACAGGGAAAAAAGAAGAAGACAATTATCTGGTTATCTAACAAATAAACATTTTCCCATTAGACATGATACTAAAAATGCTACAGTCTTGACTGTACAAACATACAAAACATGAAACATTGGCTAGAAAGTAGACATTCCATTTCAGTACAGCCAATGCTTTATCAAAATCCCATCAAATGAAGTCAGAACAAGGAGTAATCATATTAATGTTCAAAGATGAAACTGTTAGGAAATAATTTCTTTTTCTTCTTGGATCCAATAGTCTGCCAAGGTCTGCAGTTACAGCTGAGTTGTTCTCTCTAGGCTTTTAGCTGCATCTTTTAGTTTCCCAACTAAATCCTAAAACATGAAGTAAGAACTTTAGAAAAGAAGTAATTTGTTGTACATAGTGGGGTTACTTGAACATGTTAGTTCTGTGAATGTTGTCTTCAAAGGTGATCAAGTTTACATCTGGAAAACTTGGTGTCTAACACTTTGAGAAGAATGCCTACAAGTCAGCTATTTTATATCTTTAAGAAACATTCAGCCTTTCTGTCATATTTTAGTTAAGGGTAGATACTGAACATTCTTAACAGAAATGTTGTGCTAATAGCAGAATTTTTAAAATGAAAGTGCTTGGATTAATATAGAGCAGAATATAAATGACCGTAATAAATTAAATAAAAAGTATCAAAAGACAGAGACAACTTCGCTATCTTTCTTGCTGTTTAATATAACAAATTAATTCATCAACTTTTCAAGTTGCATTCCTAAATATATTTACTTATTTGCAATGGATTAAAATTTCAATTTAATATGGAATGTAAAACTAATTTTTATTTTAAAATAATTCCCAGGATTAACCTGTAACCCTTTTCTTTTGCTCAACTTCTCAATCTTTACCTAATTTTACACTTTTTAATGCTTGGGTTAGGTTTTGTTTAGTACTTGCTGTAGTCAATGTGAACTTCTTTGTATAAAGAGCTCAGTTTACCGTCCTTGAACAATTTACACAAACCCAATTTAGCCAAAGTCAATGCAAGTTGCACTCTTTATATTAATGCACAGTATATAGTTGCAGAAAGTGAATTTCCCCTCAGGTATTACATTTGAAACAGTTCCCTCCAACCCCCTTAAAATGTGATTCCAAGATCATAGCTACTATGTGGGTTAATCTGAAATCTCAATTTGGTGAGGTACATAATCAAACCATTATAAAGTAAGAAGTTTAATAAACACACTTTTTGCAAGCTTTAGTTTGGGTGGATTCCTGATAGAAAATTTCATTCTGACACCTGAAATGGTCACACCCGCACAAACATATGAAGAAATACCTGTAATTGCTCCATAGAACAACTAAAATTAATGTCCGGTTGAGATCTTGAGTCACTGTTCTAAAGGAACAAAAATCCCAAATGTTAGAAGTTTAACATCTGGCAAAACCTGAAGTAATATTTAATTCAGTGATGGTGAGGAAAAGCATAAGAATGGGTGCAGTACCTCAACATTTAAGGTCATCAGATAAGCAGGGCGATAATTTTTATGAAGTTGATTAGTCTAAAGTAATAAGGGAAGAGAAAAAAAATGTATCAGAATTTAGCAGATAAAGATACCAGAATAAAGCAGTACCCTTATTAAATTACCTTGATCTGATATTCCAAACGCCAACAAACATCAGTTATATGCAGCGGACATCTGCCTATACTGAAGAACACAATCATCATTTTCTTATTAGGTTATATTATGCTAAATGAAAAAGCTGTTGCACACATTTCAGGCATAAAAAGGTGACTGTTCCATAGATCAATAGTGTATTTCAAAAGTGGGTTAAGGGTACAAATTATCTCAACTTGATAACTTGTGCCTATGTTTTCGCCACTGTATCCATTTCAGCAGCCTCTTATATTAACTTTAAAGGTGCATTTGAAATTAATAGCAAAACTCTAGCCATATAGTTCTGATGTATTCAATGGGGCTTACTCCCTAGTAAGTTTGTTTCAGTTTGTAACCTTAAAGTAATAAAACAACTTCCTTTGACATACCTTCCCAATAGGATTTCCAAGGTATCTTTATTTTTCTGCAAAGAAGAGAAAAAAGTTTGCCATCTTCTACAGAACAAATAAAATATGAATATGGGAATAAAAAAATAATAAAATAGGCTTGAAAACCTGGTATTCGGTGCAAAATTGTTCAATTCTTTCTTTGTCAAACTTACAGTCTTCTAAATAAGTACTAAAAGGGAAACCAAAAGGATGTGTTAGCCTAAATGCCAGTACAACTCAAGCAGGAAGATTTACAGCAATGGCTGGTGTTAAAAAACAAACTAAAACACCTCAAACCCTGTGAAGGGCTTTAAAATGGGAGTACCTTATGGCAGATTTGTCAGCTTTTTGCTTTCCAGCTTCTACTATACAAGTTGCAGCTGCTGCATGACAATATTTTAATACTGCTGGATCAATATGTTCCAAGTCTGGATGATCTAAAAATAAATGAAATTTCAAAGATGGTATAACTTCAGGGGAATGTTCCTTCAAACAGAGAGAGACTAAAAACTTTCCATGCAGCCACACTTAGCATAGCCCAGTTTTAACAGTTGGGAAAGTATAATACATTTCATATTGGCAATACTTAAAGCACAGCTATAAAGATATTGACTCATTCATAAGGTTTCCCTCATTCATAAGGAGCCACTACAAATGAAGAGGCAATCTCAGCTCTCCTTTAAAATGCCTTTTCCCAAGACCCAAACCTGGCCTAAATTGTTTCCAGCATAAGTTTCTCTGGAATTATCCCATCAGGCTCAGAATTTGGCACGTTATCCAGAAGAAACAAACGGATTTAGTGCATTTTCTAAACACAGTGTCCTGGTTTTCCTCCTTCCCCGCGTTTTTTGTTTTTGTTTCAATATGCAATCCATTACTGGAATTTCTTGGCAAGCATCGAGTTATAAAACAAATGTAAATGGCAGAATTTATTTCTACAAATAAAAAATCGCCATGCTTTTGGATGTTGCATTCATACAATGAGGGGGAGCACCTGCCCCCCTATAAATTGCCCGTGGAAGAGATGGAGAAAACATTTCATAGGGTTGAGTTCTAAATCAAGGTCAGTTTAAAACAAAACAAAACATACACACAACCAAACTAGATGCCTTTCTAACCATCCTCCTCCGAATAGCGCGCGTCCCTTCAGAAGTACCGTAACTACAAACCCTTCTGGCCACATTTCTAACTTTTCCTTCTCCTTCTCCTCCTCCTCCTCCTCGCCGAGCCCCGTCTGAGTAAACAGAGCTGCTATTCGGCAATTGCAGTTCAAGCTAGTTCCTACCGGAGGCCGCGCGTTTTGAAGGCGAGCGACTACATGGCAGCGAGCAGAGCGGCTCAAACAAACGCCTTCCTTCATCGGCTAAGCGAAAGCGGCCGGTCCAACATCAACAACCAGATCCCCCTTGGCCAGCAGGCAACTGCCGGTCACCGATCCAGGGTTTCCCGCACAGAAACAGGCCGAGAAATTAATAATAATAATCCTCATAATGATCATCATAATAATGGAATGCAGTTTCAGAGCTGTATTAAGGAACAATGACGTGAAAAGAAAGCACTATTCATGCACAGACCAGAGAGCCTTGATCGTGAGGTTGCAGCACGGAGCCTTCCTAAAATAAATCAACCCGTTTAGAAGCCTGACCTTTGCAAATAACAATAACAACAACAATAATAATAATAATGACGCCGCGAATCCCAGGGACTGCAGTAAATAACTCGCCGGGGGAGGGGGGGAAAGGGAAGTGAAAATAAACCGACATCAACGCGACGGAGGAGGGGAACCGACATCCAGCCCAAAGCTGCCTCGGCAAAGAGGCTTTTAGGCCAGGAGCGAGCGAGAGGAGCGTTGCTGATTTTCTGCAAGGAAATGACAGCCGCCGGGAAATGGAGGAGAGCAGCAACAATAACAGACAGAAACAAAGAGCGAGCCTGGCTGCAGGACGTGGGCGGCTGCCTTTCTCGGCGAGGCAGAAAGCACTTCCTGAGTTTCAGGGGAAGCGGCCGAGGCTGGTGCCGGAGCTGCGGGCAGCAAGCAGCCCTGACAATGCGCCGAGGCTGCGGGGAGAGGAGCAGAGGCAAGCGGGGGAAGAGCCACCTCCCTCGGCCAGCCGGCCGGCCTGCTTCTCTCTCCCTCTCCGGTTCCCCAGGCGGCGGCAGCAGCAGTAACAGCCGCCCTGCAGCTTCCCTCCCCGGAGCAGCACTTACCTAGCGCGGCCTGGCCGGCCGGGCCGCCCAGCAAGGCACCGAAGGCGGCCTGCAGCAGAGCCTCGTAGGCTCTGGGGGAGAAGCAGCCGCGCTCGGCCAGGAGCTGCAGCCCGCCCTGCACAGACTCCGACAGCTCCATTGTGAGCCGCGCGGTGACCTTCGACACGCCGCCCACGTGATCCCCGCGCTCAGCTGATCCCGCGGCGAGAGGGAGCTGGAGCTGCAGCGGCGGCGGCTGTGGATTTCAGCCCCGAGCCTGCGAGGAAGGAGGCGGCGCTGCTGCTGCCGCCGCCGCCGCCGCCTCCTCGCCGTTGTTGCTCTGGTGGCTGCGAGTTCAACGTCCACTTCCTCTCTCTCTCTCTCTTTCTTTCTCTTTCTTTCTTTCTTTCTTTCTTTCTCCAGGCATTCCTTGAGCATATACTCCCTTTCTTGTACTTGACCCACCACCACCTTCCTTTCATTTTATTTTGTGCTCGCTTTGCGCTTCATACACAGTAAAGGAAAGGGCCAGCCGCCGCCTCCTGCTCCTTACATTTCTGGCTGGGGGTCTTGGGGTACCTCGGTTATATTTTGCTAACGCACATCGAACTGTTTTCAGGTTTTATTTCATTGCTAAGGAAACTGGCCCCACATGGTAGTTATTTGTAAAGGTGGCTTTGGACGTAAACCTCTCTCTCTTTCTCTCTTACTTTCTCTCTCTCCTTTCCATATGCTTTGTAGACATGGGATGCAGGGCAAGACATGGGATGCTGTTTTCCTTAAGCTATAGGCAAATGGGTTTTGGATATTCAGAACCACAAAAACTTCTTAAGGAATTGCATAGAAGCTGCAAAGGCAATAATGACAACGTTATCGTTTATTATATACAGTAATCCTCATTTCCCCCTGCATTCTAGCTTTAAAACAACACAGTGTTGTTGCTTTTTTAAAAATAGTATTCTTTATTCATCTATAGCTATGCTGATACATTTATATAATTTACAAAAGCATTTTAGTGGTAACTGTTAAAAATGCTGCTCTTAATATTTTTATGATATAAAATGCCATTTTTTGTGTTTTATAGGACGCTGACTGCAGTTTCATTAGTTTCTGCAGAGTAGATTCTTAAAATTAAAGGTCAGGGCATTTTTGTAGATGGCCTACTGCTAAAGTAGGAAGGGGGAAGGGGAAGTTTCTTAATATTTTATTATTTATTTATTATATAATTTATGACTCACCTAACCAAGATATTCTCTAGGCAACAGCAGAATAAACAAAGTTAAAGAGAATTTGGTAAAAAAAAAACAACCCTCAGCACTAGTTCAACAATAAGATCCAGCCTTAAAGTCCAACTCAGCATAAGAAAGTGACAAATTCTGGTAACATTTAAGTTGGCAGTCCCTTCTCCCCCATTTTATTGTTCTTGACGCTATGGGGAAATTGCTAAAAAAACATAATATTAATATTATTAAAAATAGATGGGTTAAAGAAGAAGTCATGACCTAACTTCACAATGAAAACATTGCTCTCTTTTTTCTTGTTGGAGTTTGACTCATTGGGTGATGGATTGTATTAACAGCCTGAACACCAGCCAAATTGATTCTGCGAAGTTACAATTGGATTTTGTGAGCGATTTATGATTTCTACATTTATTACAAGTCACTTGGCTACTTCTGGACATGTCGCTTTCCTTGTTACAGATAACTGAACTCATTCACTAGCAGCCTACTGAGGAATATTGGGATAAAAGCCTTTTGGAAGATCTATCTTTAAAATCAAACTGGAGTTGCATAGCACATATTTATCATCTCCTATGCATAGGTGAATATGACTTTTTTGTTTTTCTATATTCACGTCAGTAACATGTAAAAACAAATGGCACTAGCATATTAATATTACTCGTGCACAAAAGACTGCAGCTATGTGCCTTTGGGAGTAAGTTCCATTGAATATACTGGAACTTCTAAGTAAATATACATAGGGTTGGGGTTTTGGATGGAAATGACATTTCCTCTGACTTCGTGAGAAGCCTCCAATTTGTTTGAAGTGACAATGGATTTTACCTTTACATACTAAGATGCAGCCCACAAGATGTAAATCCCCCCTTTTAAAAAAAAAAAAGTGTTACATGCACTGAAATTGTTGTGTTTAGAATGCCATACACACTGATGGTGCTGTAACAACATATATATCATTTTTATAATTTTTTTTGGGGGGTGTAAGCTATTCATGCCAATGAATAGTTTTGCATAAAAATTGAATGGCAGTAATACTTGAAACATAAATAAGATTGGCACCAATTTTATTTTCAGTTTGGTGCCATGTTAAAACCTGGTTATTTGCCCATGCTTTTAGTAATTGTTAATTTCACTGCTTAATTTGTAATGAACACTGCTTGTGTTTTAAGATTATTTATTGTTTTTCTACAACTGATCAGTAGTTAGATTTGTTGTTTTAATGACTGGTGTACATCACCTGAGTGCTTGGATAGAGGGTGAGTTCTTAATTATTCAATTATTGTTAATTATTCAAAACTAGCTTTCATTAGGCACTCTCTTCTCAGTTATGTTTTTTTTTTTAATAATGATGAAGGAAATGGAAAGGTACATCAAAAATCATTAGGCAACTGATTAATGGCCTGAAAAAGGACCTGAAAGTTAACTGGAGAAAACTTCTAACTATTCACAATTGTGTTTCAGAATGCAAAGAACCATAGGCCTTTTTTGTTCCTAAACAGAGGAAGGAGCAAAAGGAGGATTCCAGTGTCTGCAGCTGCAGAATTGCAAAGACTGAGCGACTCTCTTTTAATCAATTATTCACAATTAAAAAATTAATCATATCTAACCTGTATGTATTACCAAAATGTCATCATAGGTGCTTTTTGAGATGGTGAAATAAGCATAACTTACAATTGAATATACAAAGCAAGTGTTACTACTCTTTGCTGCAAGGGCAGAGCATCTTTTTCATTTCCTATTGTTACCCACAACTACCAAAATAGCCTGTAACACCCCCCCATACAAATGTGTGCTCTTAACTCTCAGCAACACTGATTTATCAATTAACTCATGCTGTCCTTTTAATAGCAAATCATGCACATTCATAAAGTGAAATGAGAGGGAGAGAGGCCTCATATTTATTCATATGGGCTGGGATCCAAAGAACCCCTTAGTCTTCACACCAAGGTCTTCTGTAATTTCTAAAAGTTTATTCTTTGGGCAGATGCTTGCCACAAGCACAATAAGATGAAATTTCCATGTCACATCAGGAGGTGGGGTTGGAGGAAAAAAACAGTAGCTCCAACACCCTCTTGGGCTTGTGGAGCTTTGGTTCCTGAGTTTTTGGATCCTGGCTGTCGTTTGTTAACATCATGCATCAGAATGTCTGCACTGTGGCCGGAACCTTCTGCTGTAGAAGTCTGCCACAAATGGTACTTCTTCCAAAGTAGCCTCCCAGTCTATCATTTTCTCTCTCTTGTGATCTCTTTCTAAAAGGCACACCCAAATACAGTAGGACAAGGTACAGCTAGCCTTGCAAAGGTATTCATTTAGGCTCACCTTTATTACTGTAGTAAGCTACACCCCTGGTAGTAAAGCATATTTGTGTTTGCTTTATTGGAACTTTAATTTGTTGGAAGAGGGGAAATGACAATATATGGATTGCTAGAGAGACTACATACACAGATAAAGGTAGAAATTAGGAATATTTTACCTGTTACATATTTTATCTCATATATGTTTATCTCCTATTTCTGTAACCCTTGACATATCTTCCCCAGCAATAATCAAACCTGCCTCATACACATTCACTTCCTTTTTAATCTAAAACGTGATGATTTAAAATCAGCAACTGGTAAATAAATAGTAGCTGCCATTTTGCTTGTCAAGTGATATTCTGCTACTATTTTTTCACTTGCTACCTTTGGTTGGCAGGTTAGGGTCTACTGTCAACAGATTCTAGCTGGGAAGCTGTTAATAGTAATTATTTCCACCAAAACCTTAAAGCTGTAATTAACTAGGCAGCAGTGCTTTCCCGATTAAGAGAAAGAAGTGCCAGTTCTCATATATTGATAAAAGTGCCGTGGTTGCCAGCAGAAAATGGCTGCCATGAGCAGCAAAAAAAGCGTTGACAATATTCCACACTGGTGAATACTGTCACCCAAAAAGCCCTACTGGGGAGTAAGCCCTATTTAACCCAATGGGACTTTGTTCTGAGTAAGCATGCACAGGACTGTACTGTAAAAGAATGCTTTATAAGCCTCAGAGTGATCAGCTAATGGAGTTGAATAATATACTGGAAACTGCATTTCTTATTATTTCTCCTCTTCAAAACACAATGTATTATCAACTGCAGGTACAGCATCATCAGTTCATGATGGAAGTCAGGGAGAGGTTTAGTTGGTTGAGAATCGTAACAATTAATAGTGCTCTTTTTAGTTAATTAAACCATGGCAATATTATTGTTGCCTCTGAAAAGACCACATTCATTAGATACCTGTTTATCCAGGCCTTTGGTCAAATGATTCTCTTTCCTCCTGCTGCATTGCTGTTCTGTGGTGCTTTCAAATTCTGTTCTGTGGTTTTATCTTATGATTTTAAAATAAATTGTACTCATTTTAATTGTACCATTTTTGTAACCTCCCCTGGGATCACTTGATGAAGGGCAGGCTATATGCGCAAATAAAAATAATAAATAAAGATACCGGAAGTTTGAAATAAAGGTGCTATGAATGTTCAGCAGAGGTGCAGCTCACTTTAGCAATTGTTAATGAGATTAGTGCCTACTGAAAAGTTATATTTTCATTTCTTTAAAGAAACCTGAGCACTCCTTCCCTAACACTTTTCTAGACAAGGCCAAACAAATTATCTTGCTCTGCAGGGACTGTCTGTTTTCCCCTCCTTTGTCCTGAGCAGAGACAATCCAGCCAGTTAAGCGTTTTAAGTAACAAAATATTTTATTGTTCCCAGTCACCCATGAAGGATCTGTTGCTTTCAAACCTCACCATTTATTATTATTTTTTGAACCGATGGGGCCACCAAAAAATATAATTCAAGTTACTCTGTATCTCTTAATTTCCCATTATGCCATTGCTAATAATGATCACTGACTGGATGTACCAAAGGGAGTGTTTGTAATTAAGATCCAGCCTCCTCACCATAGCATCAACAAGAAAACATGCTTCTCAGCTGCAGGATCTGTCCCTTAATACCCCGTTCATAAAATGCAGCGTGTACAAACACACACAGAGAGAGAACACTGTGTTTTGC